CCTGCTGGAGGAGAAGCACACCTGCTGGAGGAGAAGCACACCTGCTGGAGGAGGAGGAGCACACCTGCTGGAGGAGAAGCACACCTGCTGGAGGAGGAGGAGAAGCACACCTGCTGGAGGAGAAGCACACCTGCTGGGGAGAAGCACACCTGCTGGAGGAGGAGGAGCACACCTGCTGGAGGAGAAGCACACCTGCTGGAGGAGAAGCACACCTGCTTGGGGAGGAGGAGCACACCTGCTGGAGGAGAAGCACACCTGGGGTAGGAGGAGTACACCTGCTGGGGGAGAAGCCCACCTGCTGGGGGAGAAGCATACCTGCAGGAGGAGAAGCCCACCTGCTGGAGGAGAAGCACACCTGCTAGAGGAGAAGCACACCTGCTGGAGGAGAAGCACACCTGCTGGGGGAGGAGCACACCTGCTGGAGGAGGAGGAGAAGCACACCTGCTAGAGGAGAAGCACACCTGCTGGAGGAGAAGCACACCTGCTGGGGGAGAAGCACACCTGCTGGAGGAGAAGCACACCTGCTGGAGGAGGAGCACACCTGCTGGAGGAGGAGAAGCACACCTGCTGGAGGAAAAGCACACCTGCTGGAGGAGAAGCACACCTGCTGGGGGAGAAGCACACCAGCTGGGGGAGAAGCACACCTGCTGGCAGGCGTTCCATGAAGAGAACCAGGTAGGAAGCTCCTTGTAGGTCTAGATTCCACTCTGACTAAGCTAACCTGAAATACAGAGGCTTCATACACCACTTGCCTTTGAATATAAATGAAGTTTGATATTCATGTCTGTGAAAAGTCTGTGGCTTTGAGACATTCTCGGAGAAAAGCCTGGCTCAATACAAGTATTACTGTTGAGAATTAAGACTGCATCCTTCGCCCGGCGGTGGTGGCACATGCCTTTAATCCCAGCACTCGGGAGGCAGAGGCAGGCGGATCTCTGTGAGTTCGAGGCCAGGCTGGACCGACAGCCTCCAAAAAAATAAAAGAAAAAGAAAAAGAAAAAGAAAAAGAAAAAGAAAGACTGCATCCTTTAGGCAAGCCTTCATTGTTTCTCATCTGTACCCCAAGACTGCTCTGAGGAGCACTCGAGGTTCACTCTTCTCTGATATGAAATTCCAACTTTTCCAAGCTATGCATCAAGATGTATATGTCCTTTAATCCAGGAGTGTATAATAGCATGTGAACATAAAACAGTTCAATCACACAGCTAGATTTCAGCTAAACCTGTATCAAAGGGCTGCTGTATTTCTTCTATATAGTATTTTTTAAAAAGAAGACAAAATGCCTTTTGCCTGTGGAAAAAAATTATAGGTTAGTGCACTATCTATCATTTTCCTAGATGATAATTTTCAGGTTTTTGTTTGGTTGGTTGGTTTGGTTATGTTTTGTTATTGTTGTTTGAGACAGAATCTCACTACATAGCTCTGACTGTCCTGCAAATCACTGTGTAGACAAGACTGGCACTGAACTCACAGAAATCAACCTGCTCTGCCTCCCATGTGCTTAGAACTAAAGGCTTGGGCCACCACACCCAGCCCCTAGCTGATATTTTTGAAGTTTAAAACTAACAACCTTTCTATCAATACTGACACAATCTGAGCTTCACTTATAAACTTTGGTTGTTTCAATCTTATGTTACACAAGAAAATCATTGCCATAGCTTCAGATACGTACACAAGCAGTCAACCATCAGTCCATAGTGGAGGTCATAGGATGTGTCAAGGGTCCAAAAGAATAAAACTAAGACCCTGGCCCATTGGATCACAGAGATGAAGCTCTTTTAGACCTTACGAAGTCATAGACATCCAGTCTAGTCTTCAGCACAAATCCAGAGATGGGTTTGTGCAAAGAAAAAACATTGTTGAATATGATAACTCAACTCATAGGAGGCTGAAATACAAATCAGACTACTAATTTATTAATTAATCATAGGGAATATTCCTTGTCAGTAATTAGAAAACATGTACCTGATACCAGAGTGCTACTTTCTCAACATTCATAGAATCCTTAATCAATAACCAGAAGTTCACCAATATTAGAAAGAAAACACAGAAAATTTGCAGAATGCCTAATAAACTAACTATGGGTGCCCAACAAGCATCTTTCTAGTGACAAAGTTGTGACTCCCACAGGTAGACCATCACTGCGTCAACATGGCAGCCTTCCAGCTGCTTCTCCCCATTGAGTACTCCCAACTAAGACACAGTACAACCAAAGGGAATTCACCTTACATTCATTACTATCCCCCATTTTTTAATAAAATATTCTTAGATAAGCTGCTTAAGCAACTGGCCCGAGCTCTCAGCTGATATTAAGTCACAGAGATTCCGATCTCAAGCCAAGGTACCAGGCATAGTGGCACAATTCACTGAGTCCTGGGGAGGTTCCAGCAGGAGAGCTGGTTTAAATGACTGTTCTTGTGTTCCCAGAACACCATAAGCACAGCACACCATCACTTATGGTCTCAGAGTCTGTCTCTCTGATTAGGCTGAAACTTTTGGAGAACAGAAGTGATGTTCAGTCCCTTTGCATCCCTAGAGTGCTTATGTCTAGATAAACATGCAAGCTTACTGTCCTGCAAAAAGACCAACCAACCAAAAGCCTCAAACTAGCCATATAGCCTTAGGGAAGTCACAGTGTCCCCAGCCATCAGAACATCATCTAAAAAGCAGGATAAAGTCAATACATAAGGGTGACACATACAAGGACATGTACGTTCCCTTCAGAATCCCAACAGCACTCTTACAAGTGTGAATTATCACAAATAAAATTCAACTCATTTACCGTCTGTGCTGTGTATGTTTATGTGTGTGCATGTGTACACACCAAAACCAATACTTCAAGAAAGGCATCTTTTCTGCAAGGATGTAACTGTCATCCAAAAAGTCAAACAGTGGCACCCTCCTCTGGTGAATGTTAAAGGAGCCAAGTATACAAACGACAATAACTAGATGGTGAGATTTCCTTCAAATGATATAACAAGAGAATAAAAAGGCAAGAGAGAAGTCGCCCACCTGGTAGTGGTATCATAATCCAATAGCAACCTAATAACTCATTTATAGCACTTCCTATTTTACTTTTTTAAGGTAAAACAAAGCCAAAGAGAATTAGCTGAATGCATGTGATAGGAGGGGACAAAACAAATGCTCTATTTTTGTGGGAACTGATAATGTTTACTATTTCACACACACAAGCATTTTACATAAGGTACAGCAAAAAGCATTTCTGCATTTGGCTAATAGTGGTCATCTTTTCACTTAATACTTTTTTTAAATGCAATGAAAACTGAATACATGCAAAACTCTGAGATAGGGAAAGCCTCCATCATGCCTTTCTGGGTGGTGCATCTACTCCAGCCACTGCTAGAAACTTCTCAACTGAAACTTCCGGCTTTGCAACTCCCATGGCTTGAAACACTCCAGTGAAAAGATTTTAATCATCCAATCACAAGTCCGAGCCCAAATCGTGCCAATATGTCCCATCTAGACAACCACAGGCCAGTGTTCTACAGCACTGATATTCCATCAGAATTTCTAGGTATGTTTTCCAAATCCAGAATCAGATTAACAGCAGCTGTCTGACTCTAGAGATACAATAAATATATTTATTAAGTTATTGACAGTTTCCTTCATCCCCACTGAGTCCAGGCACATAAAATGGCATTATGACTCAGTCATTACACTGTCACCTTTGTCATTCAGGTATCTTTTTGCTCAGTATACAGTGTCTCCCATCTCAATTAACATCCTGTCTGTCCTTCAACTACTCTGTGGTCAAGGGGAGAACTCCAAAAACACCCCAGGGCCACAAAAGTACAAAAAATAAGAAACTTTCATTCTGAAAGACACTTTATAAACAGGCAGAGGGAGTAGGAAAAAAATGTTTAAGGACTAATTCCAGTCTTATCTTCTAAGCTTTCCAATTGTTTGGCATTCTCTGCAAAGTTGGCAGGCACTCACCTGGGCAAGATTTGCAAATAGTGAGTGGAGAATGCATATTACACAGCCAATCAAAAGCTTCCTCGGTGTTTACCAAAACAAACAAAAACAAAAAGCCACTGGACCAAAGAACAAGCAAACAGCGGCTGAGGAGGAGGAGGAGGGGAGGAGGAGGAGGAGGGGGAGGGGGAGGGGAGGGGGAGGAGGACGAGGGGAGCAGTCCTGCAGTCCCCTGGAGGAAGCTGGGTAAGAGAGCAGTGGAACGAAGAAGAGAAGGGGTAGGTGATGTGGAATGCTGCCAAGAAGGAGGTGGGGGGGGGAGCATGATGCGATGAAACCATTACAAGTGCCCAACTGAGACAGATGTCATCGAGGGCTTAGCTCTTGGCCACAGTTTAACACTCACTTCATCTGGGCACAGGCCCAAGGGCCGGACCTCCAGGAAACCTGAGACTCCACACTCTGGAGGGTCAAATGTCCCAGAAATTTAGAGAAAGACCTAAAGCGCACTTGAGCCCGTGTCCTGCTCGCAGATAAACCCCTAACAAAGGCTTATAGAAGGAAAGCGACATCGGTATCCCCAAGCTGGCCGCCGCCTGCCCTGCCCACAGCCCCCTCTGCAAAGGCAAGGCAGCCAAGCCCACCACCAGTGAGGCATGCCTGTCCAATCCCATTGCACTAGCAAAGTTGACAGCCTGGGGAAGAGGCGCAGCCTTGCCTCTGGGGGTCCTTCCCTGGAGAAGCAGGGACTGGAAGAAGTCAAAGGCTTCTTCCCTTTCGGGGTGCACTGAAGACACTAAGGCCCGAGGGCAAAGTTCACTGGATACACCACTAAATCTCCCCGGAAAAGCAGCAGTCTTTTACTTGCTTCTGACCTTGGGAACTTTGTAGCAAACCCGCACGGAATATCCAGCGCACACCTCTCGGTGTGCTCCGACCCAAGATCTCCTTGGCTTGGCAGGGTCTTGGCCACCTGAGGCACATCTGTCACCACCAGGGTCGCCACCACGCCCCTCTTGCCCGAATCCGACCCCGCCACGCACACAGACGCGGAGAACTCCTACCTCGCCGCCGTGCCCATCGAAGATCCCGAAGATGGACGGGTGCGTCTTGTTGGCCAGGTCGGTGAGAACTTCGAAGCGGTCTTCCATGTGGTCTCTCCGGCCCTGGATGGAGTACACCGCCACGTTATGGCTCTTGAACTCCCAGGTCTTGGAAAACTCGGCCTCCAGCACGTCGAGCCCTCCAAGGCGGTCGTTCTGCATGATCTCGGCCACCTTGCCCTTCACCATCTTCACGGCGTCGCGGCTGGACTTAACGATGGTCTTCACTTCGTCCGTGTGGAAGAAGTAGCTCCACAGAGCCAAGCTGATGCACAGCAGAAAGAGCGTCTCGGGTCTCAGCAAGAAGTAGCGCATGATGCGACCCAGCAGAGACAGCAAAGTCATCGTATCCTCTATCATTTATTATCTGTCCCTGGGGCCCCGGCCGGCAGCGGCGACGCGCGCCCCGCAGCCCCGGGGTCCGAGCACGGCGGGCACAGCCCGCGGGCACCGAGGCGAGGAAGAGGCCGCCCGGGCCGGCTGGGTGAGCCCACGCGGGTCGGCACGGGCGCCCGGAGCGACAGCAGCTTCCCTTTTGTCTAGGCGGCAGCCCCGAGGCCCGCGCCCGCCGCCCGCCCGCCCGCCTGCCCTCCCCGCGCGCGCTCTTTGTGAGACCGCAGCGACGGCGGTGGCGGCGGCGGCCCCGGGTGGGCGGCAGGAAGCGAGCTAAAGTTGTGCCGAGCCGGTCCGCAGCGGTGAAGAGGCTCTCGGGGTGCCAGCGCCCGCGCTGTCCCTCCGGGGGCCCCCCGCTGGCGACTCCCGGGAGCGGGCGGCAGGTGAGGCGGCGCAGGAGCCCGGCGGCGGGCGGCGGGCGGGCGGGCGAGGGCTGCGCGTCCCCTCGGTCTCCGCTGCAGGGAGCGCGGCGATCCCGTCACACACACACACACACACACACACATATACACACACGCACACACGCACGCACACACCCCGGGGCGGGGAGGGGGAGGCCAGACGATAAAAGTTTGGCGGGCGCCGGGGCAAAGGAGGGAGACGCCGAGCCGGGAAACGCAGCGCGGTGGGTGCGGAGCCGCCGGCGGGCTCTGCCTGCCTCTCTCCCCGGCACCTCACGGCTCGGCTCCGCTCGGCTCCGCTCGGCAGCTCCCGGCCCGGCTCGCGCTCGGCGCGCCCCGCCCCGCGCGCGCTCGCCCCGCCCCCGCCCCGCCCCGGAGGGCCGCTTCGGCACCGCGTCGCCTCTCGCCCGGCTGGGCCCGAAGCAGCGCGCGCCGCGGAGGACGCGCGTGGGCGGCGGGCGGGTCGAGGCGAACCGCAGGGGACGGGGGGGAGACGCGGCCGCCCGGCCGCCCAGATCGAGCGGATTGCCGATTCTGCCTCGGGTGCCGGCTCCCGGGGACAATGGGACAGTGAGGCGGCTGCACTGCACCGCGGCTTCGCGGGCCACGCGGCGGCCGGCTGCGGAGCCGGGAGCGGCGCACGAGCGCTCCCCCCTCCGGCTCGCTGCACGATGGCGCCGTCCGCGCCCACCCCTTCCTAAGGCTAGCAAGATGGGACACGTTTCTCCCGCTCGAGAACCGAACCCGAGGGACGAGTTGGACCACGCGAGGCGGTCCCGGGCCCCAGAAGCTTTGTCCCTCGGAAAGCCGGCCTGGCAGACGGAGATGAGGCTCGCGAGGCCTCTGAGCACCGGGACTGTCCGGGCGCCACGCTTCCCCGGGAGGCACGGAGCGTCCTCCTCCGCGAGCCGCTCTGCCCGCGGGTCAGGTCTGAAGTGACAGCTGTCTCCTCCGTCCTGCAGAAGACTCGGTGTGAGCGAAGGTGCACCTCCGCGGGGAAACGGGAACGCGGGCAGCGAGCGGGCCACCCTGGCAGGGAGCCGATCCGCGCTCTCCCTCTGTCCACCGAGACCGGTGCTGATCCCCGGGCCCTCCCAGCCGGTGTGGCCCCCAAACTCCGCTCCCTTCTTTCGCTCCCAGTTACGTTTTGAGGTGTAAAATATAAGCCTGGTAGTGGTGGCGGCGCGCGCCTTGAATCCCTTCACGTGGGAGGCATCGTGAGTTCAGAGCCAGCCTGGTCTACAAAGCGAGTTCCAGGACAGTGTGTGTGTGTGTGTGTGTGTGTGTGTGTGTGTGTGTGTGTGTGTGTGTGTGTGTGTGTGTGTTGGGAAGAAATACAACAAAATGTTCACAGTAGTAACTAGAGCAGTTCCTATTTTCTCCTTCAGATTTTTCAAAACTGCCAAAGTTTCTAAAAAAAAAAAAAAAACACTAGACTTCCCTCACAACCATAAAAAAAGAATACTTAGAATTTAAGTGGCTCATATAATAAGACCCCGACAGCGTACACATGAATAGGAGTGACAGGAAACAAATATGAGGAACTGCTAAGAGCATGTTTTGAAAACTAGAATATGGTTTTCAATATATGATTATGAGCTATGGCTTTCAATATTGTCCACCGAGCAAGAAAATGTAAGTTTAACAAATTGGGTGGTTTTATTCAATATTCAAGCAGCTCCAAAATCAGATAATAAATTTAAAACCCTTTAAGAACTGTAAGTAAAGGGGATGCCCTAGGTATTGTTAGGAAAACAAATTATTTCTTACTGTAAACTAGCAGATCAGAGGTACTTTAGTCTTTTTGTCCATAAACTGTGTCTCTTAGAGCAAACACAGTTTGTAGGTAAACATAATGATTCCAGAACTACCTGCCAGGCCTTCCTTGAATTAGCCGGCTGTAGAATCCCAAGCCCAAAGGCCTGCTGAGGCCTCTGCCTGGACCAAGCATTCCAAGTGCAAGAACTAGAGGACACACCCCTAGACACGCGGCTTACACCCCTAGACTGGCGGCTTACACCCCCACCCCAAGCTAGCAAGCAAGACTACCCTACTGCCTTAATGTAGTTAAGTAATAAACTTAAAGGTCTTTAAAGTTTGTGATGCTGTGCTATGACATTTACATCCAAGTGGTTTATCTGTGTAAAAACCAAAACCATTTTCAAGAAGACCTTCTAGGCATTTTTCTATTTCTGTTGAGAAATTTCACATAACCTTAATTTTTAAATACCTGAATAAGCATTTTGTTATACTTTACTGTAAATTAAGTATGCTAGAAAAACAACAAAATACTTTCCATTAATGCCAAATTGACTTTTGTTTTTTTGTTTGTTGGTTGGTTTGTTTTTTTGAGACAACATCTCTCCTTAGCCTTGGCTAGCCTGGAAGTCACTATGTGGAGTAGGCTGTCTTTAAACTCATAGATCCTTCTGCCTTTGCCTGCCTAGTGCTGGGACAAAAGGTGTGTGCCACCACACCTGGCTGTAAGGGTTTTTAGATGTATTTGAATTTGTTTCCATCCATACAGCAGACAGAGAGCTGTTATCTGTGTTTATGATATAAGGAAATTAAGGCCCAAAGAATTAAATAGCACAATACAGCAAATAAAAATTGAGCCCAATTCTGATCATACAGTACCCTAACATCCATTGATTGCCAGTGATACCAAGATTAGTATAATTTTTATACTTATCTAATGGCATTTCAGTTCATCTTCATTATAGAAATCTCACCAACAGCCAGGTGTTGGTGGCACACCCCTTTAATCCCAGCACTCGGGAGGCAGAGGCAGGCGGATCTCTGTGAGTTCAAGGCCACCCTGGTCTACAGAGTGAGTTTCAGGGCAACCTCCAAAGCTACACAGAAAAACCCTGTCTCAAAAAAACAAAAACAAAAGAAAAGAAAGAAAAAGAAATCTCACTAACAACAAAATCTACATGGATTCTTATGACACACATTTGGGGCACACAATGAACTGTTAGTATCTTATGCAAGTACAAATAAATTGTCCTTCACCTGTTGGCAAACACCCAAAAACCCTGTTGCTTAAGTGAATTTTTTCTTAGTTTCAGTTCACAGGAAAAGGATAGTATAACATCCTTGTGTATACTACACAAGAACTTTATCTGTACAAGAAATTTGGTAACGAACACTGAGCTAATGGCAGCCCTAGGTTTTCATGAGATAGAAGAACAGTGGCAATTACTAGGTAAGGACTGGAAAGGTGGCTCTGTTGGTGACATACCTGCTCCTCAAGCCCACTCAAGCATGAGAATGTGAGTTCAGGTCCTGTCTTAGCTGGGGTTTCTATTGCTCTGAAGAGACAACCATGACCACAGCAACCCTTATAAAGGAAAAGACTTAGTTGGGACTAGCCTACGGTTCAGAGTTTAGTCCACGGTTATTATGGAAGGAAGCACAGCAGCATGAAGGCGGCATGGTACTAGAGAGGCCGCTGAGAGTCTACATTGGGGTCAACAGGCAGTAGAAATGACAGTGATACTGGGCATGGCTTGGGCTTCTGAAACCCCAAACCCACCCCAGTGACACGCTTCCTCCAACAAGGCCACACCTCCCAATAGTGCCACTCCCTGTGAGCCTACGAGGGTCATTGTCATTCAAATCTTCACAGATCCCAAGCTCCTGCGTGAAAAATTGGGTATGCACCTATGGTCCCATTGTCGGAGAAGTGGAGCCCCGGCGACTTGTTGGCCAGCCAGATGGGAAGCTCCACACTTTGTGAGCTTTGTCTCACAAAATAAACAGGAAACATATTCCCTCGTCTGATGTTTCATTGTGTCCTCATCTATTTTTGTTTTTGCCACCCTGTAGAAGTTATAAACATCTAATGTGGTCTATCCTTTCAGCCTCAGGATGATGAATGTAGAGGTTGAAGAGATGACTTGGTGATTAAGAACACTTGCTCTCTTGCAAAGGACAAGGTTCAGTCTCCAGTACCCACATAGGGGCTCAAACCATTCATAACTCCATTCCAGGGATTATGTTTTGGTTTTTTGGGTTTTGTTTTGTTTTTCAAGACAGGGTTTCTCTGTAGCTTTGAGGCCGTCCTGGAACACACTCTGTATGTACACCAGCCCAGCCTCAAACTCACAGAGATCTGCCTGCCTCTGCCTCTGCCTCCCAAGGCCTGGGATTAAAAGCTTGAATCTGATGCCCTCTTCTGGTGCCCATACTTACATGCCACTGAAATACTCAGACAAATAAAAATAAAGAAATTTAAAAACAATTTTTAAAAAGAAAACCTGTGAAGGAAACTTCAAATCATGTAGAAATTCTCTGCACATTTTGAACTTGCCAATTATCACTGAGTCGTGCTCTTAATTTTGTCATTTCTACAAAAATACTGCTTTGTGTTGAACAGGAGGGTACTGAATAATTTTTCTGAAATTCTACAGTATATGCTGCTCTATGTATGACCTTTTCAACAATATGTAGGAAAAGGTACCTTACAGTGTTGTGTTGAAGCACAACCCCCATAAACACTACAGGCATGAAACAATGGCCTGGTTGAAAAGAAGACTACCAACCATAAAGACTTCTCCTTATCTCCCTTCCCCATCTGTCCCCCATTGCTATTATGCTCGAGTTTTTGCCTGGGTTAGTTTTCAAGGTTTTGTTTTGCTTTTCTTAAATAAAAATCATTGGGTTGCAATGAACTTACAAATAAAAACATCATGTAGCTAGATTGATGTAGCCATGCAAACGCACCCTTGCCCAGTGCCGAACTCTATCCGGGAACTGCTGTACAGTTAGACTGGCCACCCTGAAACCCTGGAGCGTCACTCCGCTCTGTACACTCCCACCATCAATTCTTGTTTCACGCAGTTATCTACCACGCCAAGGAAGAAGGAGAGAGCGGCGTGACAGACAGCGACAGCCACCTCGCTTTGTCCTCTTCCACGGAGCTGGACGCGACGCGACGCTGCGTGGCTGTGTGCACCCCTCTCGCTTGCCTCCCACCGCAGCTGCCCCACACCCTCGCGTGCTGTGGACCGCTGACACCCATCACCTTCCTGATGTACCGCATTCCACAACTAATACGCCCATCCTCCTCCCAGAAGCATCGCTTGCTGAGTTTTTGTCTTTTTGTTCTTTGTTTTGTTTTGATGAATGATCTCATGAATTTAGATGTGCATTACTTCATGGTGTGCATGCATAGAAGTCTATCCAGGTATAGACATGGGAGTGAAATAGCTAAGAAGTATGAAATGAAAATGTCCAATGCTACAATTTATAATTCAAAACATTTTTGAAAATGGTATTCCTACTTAACAGCC